CTTTGAGTTTTCTGCATAAGGTAGAGTTAAAGCAAGATAAGCGAGGAGCCACACAGATGCGAAGGAAATTGATTCTTGTGCAGCGACAAGGTGTGGTTTGAGAAGATGTTCAGAAGTGAAATTTAGAAAAAAATTAAAAACGAGAGTTTTTGAGGGCATGCACATCTTAGTGAGTTAGAGAATTCGCCATTTTTTCGCATCTGTTTTCGCAGTTCCGGCTGGATCTGAGCACTGTTGACACTGGGAGTGCGTAATTGTCGCGGACACCTTAGTGTAGCACAGGCGTAACGATGACTTTTGGGTAAAAAATGCGCTTGTGAAGTGAGGAAAATGTTGAGTGAATACTGCTTTTTTTGTCCGAGATGGTTAACGAATCCCCTTTAGAGTGCCACCAAGTCAGTTCTACCGGTAAAACATATAGCACAGTCAACGCCTGTTGGAAACTTTGATTTGGATTACGAGGATATGACGCAGATTTTATAGAAGGAAAAGAGTCTAAAACTGACAAATGGTGATTTTTATTAGTTTTGTCACGGGAGCGGTTCACCTGGAATTTGTGTGCAGCCAGTCTACTTGAGACTTTCGGGGAAATTTCAGGAAATTCACGAGAAGAAGGGGAACTGCAAAGCATTTCATTATCCGACAATAAATTTGCAATTCATCATGGCAGTGCGAAGTGTTCCACATAGGTCGGGCTTTATAACTTTTTCGCATTATGAAAAGTTGGGACTTGAGAAAAGGCATTAGAATTGGTTAGAACATACCTTAAAAGTCAACAGGCAAGCACCTTGTGGCAGATGAAGGGTTTGAGGAATTGGTGGTCATCGCCAAAGATGTATCGAACTGAAGAAAATTCACTCAAGTCAGTGACAATAGATTGGATATACTAAAGCCGTGCGATTTGTTGATGTTCTGAATTAATTAAATGGCAGAACAGCATTATCTATGACAAAAAACGGTGCATAAAAATAGCAGGTCACAATAGAGAAACTAATGCTCAGTTTCCAAAAAAAAACAGAAGAATGAAATATTTTCTCAAGCAATTTCTGTATCTCTGGAGACTCGAGTACTCAAAGCAATTGAAGAAAGCCACCAGTGGGAACTATAAACAAGGGAGGTTCTCATCGTGCTGTTTGCCTAGGAAGCCGTAACTACGCCGTCAGGTGTGTGTGCTTGGAACATATTCCGCCGTTCACTGAACTAGGGCGTCTGCCTAAATGGTTGAATTCTACTAACTATAGGTACATTTTAAGTGATACTGTTTTCTCACCGAAAGAGCGGCCAAAATATAGACCCCATAACGAAACCCTAAATTTGCGATGATTAGAAGAGTGCCGGTCGTATTGCTAGTAACTTTGATGCAGATCTTGGAAATTACGCCTTGACAGCCTACATTTCTGCCTCTACAGTCCATTATCAAATCACCCAGTCGTTAACGCGCTCGAGAAACTTGTTGTTGTTTAGCTTATGTTTGGCGCTACCATGCTTGCTCAGTTCTGACAAGCCGACGTTTTGTTGCCAACCCACCGCAAATTAGTTCCAGAATGCTCTTATCCAATCCATGACTTCAGGTTCGGTTTTAGACTTGAGAGCGTAAAGGCGAGCAAGGCCTGATTATTGCAGTATTGCTTAACTTTGGCAGATTAATTCAAGCGGTGATTGAAGTGTTTACAGGACTTTTTTTTTCTCCAGATCAATGGTTACTACAGTTATATCCTCTCCTACTTTTCTGTACGTCTCATAAACTTGTTCGTTTGTCGTATCTCGACTATCTGCAATCCAACAAAAACTTTTTTGAGAACTTGCAAGTTCTGTAAACTGAACTTAGGTAGTGTCAGCCATGAAATAGCAAGCGCTTTAAACTTTCACTAGCTCTGGTTTGGGCAGGCGCATAACAGAAGCAGATAGTAAATGTTTTAAAAGATTCTGTCGCAACTTTTTTTGTACCAGAAAAACAGTACCTGTATGGATAAAAATGTAGTGAAGTAAAAATTCTGAACGGAACTCCACGATTTTCCCTTTTCAGAACTTGTTCCCGTTGTCTGTGCGAAAAATGCAGTGTTTTTTAGTGTAGCAGTAAACAGGGCATAAATGGAGGTGATTAGGAGTGCTGTGAGAAGCCTGAACACGGTGGGGAAACCTATGCTAAGATGGAAAGCAGCGTCAAATTCGTGACGTAACGTCCCCGACACCATAATTTACATAGGAGAAGCTGGAAGCTAGATTAGTGCGCCGTGTAACTGACGGAGCAACACAGTACGCTGAACTGTACCATTGAAACCATCCAAAACCGTTCCCACTCACGAAGTAGACGAACTGCTCTTTCACAACTAAGTGGCTTTTTTGCTTTTCCAATAATGTTTAAAGTTTCAGCCTGAAGCTTAGGGAGAGAGATTATACATCACCTAGACTTAAACGAGTGAATACCGTACAACTGTAAATTATTATTGAGTTCATTGTTACATAAGCGACCCTTTACTTTGAAAGTTGACGCTTTTTATCAAACTATCTAGAGAAGAATGTCTTCTTAAACTTAAGCTTGCGCTTGAAACGTGATTTAATAGGCGTCGTCTGGGTGCGTGAGTTCCGAAGATGTCGAAGTTGGCCAATTCTGAATTATTTTTGTTGGAAGAGAAGTTGGATAAATGCAGACCATCGAACAGAAAATAAAACGCTTCTCCGCAAAATTTAGAACAGCGTTTGGAAAATTAGTTTATTAGCCGAAGTTTAAGCTAACGGGTTTTCGTCGACGTACGGAACCCTGTCTGCTCAGAAACATGTCAGTCGGCGATCGGCTTCTCTACAAAACTGATGTTAATTGTTGTCGGATTTTTTAAGGACGGTTGTCAAGAGGGAAAAGCTGCCTTTGTGACCATTACAGTCAGGATAACTAGTAACCACAGCGAGGGAAACGACCCCAATAGTTACCAATTCACCTTTACTTTTTGTCTTGCGATTCCCTTTCCACAGTTTTATTCAAACTACAATACATACCAAAAGCCAGTGAAATAAAAGAAGATCACTTCCGACAATCATTTATTTTTATTGAACAAATCACTCAAAAATATTACTTGGAGTACCAAGCTCTATGAAGAACTGTTCAGCTTTACCAGCTAATCGTATTACTTATAACTGTTCAATCACACCAAATCTTTTCTATTTTATTATTACAAATGGCTTGTAAATGAAACAAAGGAAAAAACACGTCGTAGCCCTCTTCTAAATGCCTCCCAAGGTACACTATAATACACTTTGTAGAACTTACTTTCGTTTCAGTTAAAAATTCATTAGGAGTCGTAAGAAAATAAAACGAAGAACCTCACATATACACCTAATTACCCTACAAATAAGCTGCATAAAACTTCTGTTACGGTCGATATTTTAAGTACTACAATCTTCTTTCTACCAAACAGGCACAAAAATAATATTAAAGTACAAACAGAAATTTGCAAAAACTTGCGTGTAAGAATCACCTTTAACAAAGGTAAACGACAACAATATCTCAACTAAAATAGGGGGATCTACTTCGATATATGGATGTAGAATGGTTTTGGTTTCAAATTTAAATGAAACGAAACAGTGAAGCAAAAAACGTTGTGGTGGAATCATTGCAGATTCAGCCTAGTATTCCCTGGTTTTCCAAGCTGCCTCTTAAACTTCAGTTTCAACAGGGTATTTATAAAACCTCAGACAAAGTTTGCTGGCGCCTACAGCCTTCCACTCAGAATCTCGCCACAAAAAAAAAGAATCTCTTCCTAAAGCAACATACTCTTTCATGTCCATCACGATTCTCTAGTTGGGTCCTCCACAATCCTGCCCAATAATGGCGTTTTGCTCAATTTATTCTCTAACCATGTTTTCAGGGCAGTTGTATCCGGGCTGGTAGAGACCACGTCTTTTACAAGATCCGGATCGATTTCAGCAGTTGCAAAAACCCTAACAACATTTCATTACCTTTCAAATTTTACTATTAATGCAGCTGACAATTTATTACCAAGATAAAATAGCGGGTAACTGAGTTCAGCAAAAATCGCGTAAAGACCTTTTTCTCCCCCATAACACCGCGTATGTCGACACACATACGACAGCTAGTTGAAGTGCTGCTATACGAGGTAATATGGGATAGGCAACACGTGAGCCAAGCCACGATAGTGTCAAGAAATCCAAATAATTTTTAACTAACGGATACTTTTCTTCGCCTCTTTGTAACAGCTGCAAAAATACGTACAACAGTTAATAAATGACAATAAAAGCAATAAAATTATTTGTTGGTTATCCTAAATGCTACTCAAAAACTTTCGACCGGTTTGATACAGTATTTTAGACATTTTTGAAAAAGTAAATTTACTGATCGTGAAAAAAAAGGCTGCTAAACAACGCACTCATCATTTTGACAGGAGAAGATTATCTTCGAAAAAAAGATGCTATTGTAAGAAGGGCCTCTCTTTACAATGGCCGCGGAAGAAATTCTAAACCTCTGTCTCCTGATAGAAGCTCCCCCACTGACATGTTCATACTGATACTGAGTGCCAAATACAAACGCAAAGCTACCTGGCCTAAGAAACGGTCATCATTGGAAGGTCATCCGAAAGCCGGAAAAGCCGTCAATACAGCCTTTCTTGTTAGAGACTAATTAGGCAGTAAAAAGCAGAAACGGTCACAGAATTTGCAGGAGATAAGTTGATGGTTCTAATTCTTAAAACAATTAGAAACCACTAAGCGTTCAAGAAAGCTGTCATAGAAAGAATGAGAATTAGACGGAAAAAAGGAAGTAAAAATGTGGAAACAATCTGTTCCTGACACAAATGGTTCATAGATAGAACCGCAGGAAATATGCAAAAAACTGCCTACGGTAGACCTTTGGCTGAACTCTTTAAAAACTCAAAATTTAAAAATTAAAAAATACCGCAAGAACTAGGGGAAAAAAGAATGGAAACTTATGGTCACATTCCAAGTGAATTTCTTTATTCGCTGGTGACCGTCCTCAATAGCCACTGCTAATTGTTCTGTAACTGACAAAAAAGGCTGCTCCCCAAAAATAAGACCTCATTTTTCGAACGCTGATAAGAATTTAGAGGTTTGAAAAGCACTACAGTAAAACAAAATTTATTCACTTCTAAAGCTTTTACTTGCGTTACGCAAAACATACACATTTTTTCTTTCTCATTTCGTTGTAGCTCAAAAATAATGGCTTTCTGCAATATTCATTTACCAGACGATGTAGAGGACTTTGAAACAGCAATGCAAGACTGGGTGAGAAAACTGAGTTCGTTATTTGAGTCCCTATAAGCATGCTTTGCAAGTCGTGTCCTCAAAATTTAGAAAAGTGAGCAACCTTTGACAAAGATTTAATTGTAATTTCATAGCGAGACTAGATCAAGATTCTGCAAAGAAACTCAAAAACAACAAATTTAGTCCTAAATGGCACTTAAAACTCAAAAAAAGCATAAAATAGTCACATGAAACACGTTCACACCCTTCAATCCAGTCAAAAAATGTATTCTTTTCTAAGCTACTCTAAAGTCGGTTCACCTAAGGCAAGTGACTGGAAATTTACTAAGCCACAAAACAAAGAAAGAAAAATATACCACATAGTAAGATAAATACGGTGTTGACAACATCGGCAACGCTATCCCACTTATAAATGCAATAATCAAATTTCGCACAAAAACGTTAACCGGGGAGACCTGTCCTTCCCTGAATTTTTCAATTATTACCGTGATATAACGCTAGATCTACATCAAAAACCACATTAAGACAAACAACAAAACCTCATAATGTTTGATTTTTACCCTTGAGACCATGCACGTTTAAAAACATATAAGGAATGAATGGTAAATGAAATCAAACAGGCTTTCTTAAAAAATAAAGACGGTGATCAAAATGAGATTTAAAAATGAAATCACTTCAACCAAAAATCCTTTCCCCTACCAATATCATACATCCACTCACGGAATAAACAAGATATTTCTTTTGTTAATCTCATGATTCTTCCAACAATTTTAGTGCCACAGTGT